AAGACTGGGAAAAAGAACAAAGGAATTGGATTGGCCAGTGATGAGGGAGGAAGACCAGGGGAGTATGGTGACTGGCAAGCTAAGGTAAGGGGTAGTTTTAATAGGAATTACCTGGGCCAAGTGTAGCCAGTATCCCAGAGAATTCAAGGACAATGCAGTCTAAAATATGGGAACTGGATTGAAGGAAATGAAGACCACTGGGGAATTTAATAAGAGATGTCTTAATGGAATCATACAGAGGAAGATTTGACATATTCTGAAAGCATTCTGAGTTACTAATAAGAGTTGTGAGGTCTTTATCTGTAGATGCTCTATCTTTGGGCATGTCCAAATGCTGATGGGAATAATTGGGTAGATTGATGATGCAGAGGATGGAGGAGCAACTTTAAGAGAAAATTCCTGAATGGATGAAGGACAATGGGTTTAGAGAGCAGTAGAGATGTTTGATCGTTATAACAGGAGATAAGAGGTCATCATAACAGAAGAGAAGAGACAGAACAACAGAGACATGGTGGAAAAGAGAAAACACTCTTCTGATTGCTCCTATTTTCTCAATAAAATAAAAATCAGGGTGATCTATTGACAGTGAGTGTTGGATGGCAGACAAGTGAGATGGTATCAGTAGTTAACTGGATAAGCAGGAGGAGGTTTGGACTGGGGAATTGTGGTTGGCTTTTCACCTGGTGCCAAAGGCCCACTTGAGATATGTGGCCAGAACTCTAATTTGAGTCCAGTAAGCATTGTTGTGATTTTTCCTCTCACCACATTCTGGTTCTCAGATCCAGGCACAGAGTAAGAAGAGAGATGAGTTTAAGCAGAGATGAGGTTTATCACAGCGGTGATGGAGGGAAAGAACTGAGGTGACAAGGTTGTTATAGGGATGGAACCCAAACTGGAAAAAGATGGTGACAGCATTTGAAGCCAGGCCTGGAGTCTGATGGGTGTAGCACTGTTTGTTGGAGTGTGTAGATTAAAAGTCATCTGTTTGTAGCCAGAAATTCTGATGTTTGAGACCTACATATAGGAAGTGGTGCAGCTATTAATAACATACAGATTTAGAGTATATCTTTGGAAGAGGAGAGGTGATGTGTACTGGAGGAAAATCACCATAAAGTCACTTTCCAGAGAGAAAAAATGTAATGAGAAAACATTGACATTATTTTTAGATTGTGGCTACTGAAAAAAAGTGGGTGGGAATGAATTCCTAACTTTAATAAGTTATGTGGACTAATGAATCCTGCCCAAAGCAGTTTTGAGACCTGCTAATGCAATTTGTTCCTAATATTATGGTGTTAACATTTGATATAAATGACTTTTTTTTAGGGAAACAGACTTAAGTTTAATCTTTGTAGTAATCGCACAGTGTATGGTTACATTGACCATTTTTTCTTGAATGTAAGAGAAGAAGTAGATTTAAAATAGAGTGAGAAATGCTATGGATGCCGCAGCCTCTCTGGGCAATAATGTAAACTGCAGTGAGTGACCTTGAACTAATGTACCATTCTTAGTTGCAGTGATCATGAATTTTTGTGCTGTCTTGTACTTTCCATGTAATTTGGAAGGTTTTGTGAACATCTGGGCACCCCCACGAGTATCATGACACCCCCATATAAGTCACATGAATGGCATCTGACATGTCTTTATGGAAAAATAGGGGAGGAAGATGTGTACTGAAGCTCTAGGCAGAAACTAGGGCAATTGTTGAAGAAATGAACTCAGTAAATCACACTCCCCACAAGGTGGCTTTGTTCCTCCTTTCATCCAGAAGTGGAGTTTATTTCTCCATGCTTTGATCTGAGATGACCTAGTGGCTTGTTTTGACTAATGAAATATGGTGGTAGAAGTGACTTGGTGTGATTTCTGGGTCTAGGCCACAAGAGGCCTTACGCTTCTGCTCTTGCTTTTCTGGAACAGAGCTGCCTCCACAAAGAGGTCCAGGTCAGCCTTTTGGGGGATGAGAGCTATAGCAGCAGGAGGCCCTGCAGACACACATGTGAAGGAGGCCAGCCCCTACTAAGTCACTAGCTGACTGCTGCCATATACATGACCCTAATTAAGACCAGCAGAAGAACCAACCTGCTGAGCTCAGCCCAAATTACAAACCTATGGAACTGTGAGCTAATGAGTGACTGTAGCTTTACACCACTAAGTTTTGGGGTTATTTGTTACACAATAGATGGTTGATGCAACCAGTAAGAGTTACTAACAACCAGGACAGGGAGAGAAAGAAGTAACATTTATTGAGTACCTACATTGTGTTGAGCAATTCCTGAGAAAATTATCGTGATTTGGCTTTACAACACCTCTCCAAGGAGGCATCATTTTCTTCCCAGTGAGAAGAAAGAAGCTCAGTAGCTCGTCCAAAATCAGATATCTAACAAATAATAGACCACAGACGAAAACACACCCAAATCCCACTCTTTAAATACATTAATTTCAGAACTTCAATGCACTTATAAAACAGCTCCATAAATTGACATATCTTTATGCTGTCTGAAATATTCCATATTTAATAATATTTTCTTCAAATTGACTCACTTGAATAAGTTACTAGACAAAGAAATATATTTAAAGCAGAAACATTTTGTTACTGGAATGAATTCTGAATGCTTTCCCCAGGTGAGCTCTCTTCTAGTTGCTTTGCATGAATGAATTGATTTATTCCTCACAGTAATTCAGTCAGGTTAGAGCTATTGTCATCATAGTCCCCACTGGAAAGATGAGAAACATGAGGTAGGGGAGATTAAATAGCTGCTTGATGTCACCGAAGAAGTAGGTGGTTGAGGCATGGTTGTGCTATTGGCAACTGAGGGTGGTGGGTAGAGACCAGAGATGCCACAAAACATCCTACAGTACACAGCACAGCCTCCCATCTCCATCAGAGAATGATTCAGCACAACTGTCCATAGTGCCAAGGTTAAGAAACCCTGTTTCTGACTTTCTAAATGGTAAACAGATACAAGTATTGCTTGCCATTAATGGAAATTCAGGGGGTAAAATGAACAACCCTGAAGAATCTCTAGAAGCTGTTGCTTGCCAGACTGGGAGTCTCAGGAGCTCTCTTTTTGTTGAAAATAGATCTGCAAAATGTAGAGAGATAGTAGAGGCTAGAAACTCTCTCCTTGGGTGCAATCAGAGGATTGTAAGAGATTTATATTTGGAATTAAACCCCTTTGTGTGATTCTAAGTCATTTATACCATGTCCATGTCCCTATCAAATCATCCCACAATCCACTGGTGCAAAGCCCATCCTTTGGGAAGTGTGGCTTTATGGACTAGGTGAGTGATCTGTATGCCATGGGCCAAATCTAGCCCATCACCTGCTTTGTTAATTAACTTGGGGGTAACATAGCCACACCCATTCTTTTACATATCATGGAGGGCTGCTTTTGCACCACAGACACAGTTGCTTTGGGACAGCAGAGACCATTTGGGCCACAAAACCTAAAATATTTACAATTTGGCCCTTAACAGAAAATCTTTGCTGACCGTTGCCTAGAATTACACTTGGTACATAGTAGGCACTCAACCTACTATGTGTTGATATTTGTTGAATGAATAAAGCCCTGGGAGACACTGCTCTCTGTCTTCCCTCTCCACCAGCACCTCCTTCTTCCTACTCTCCATCCTACCCATGTCTGTTTGTTTGTTTGTTTTTGCATTTCCATTTTGCTCAACATGAAATGACAGCTCCATTCTTAAAACAAACACATGTCTACCGAGTAGTTGATCACTGTAAGCTGCTCCGTTTTAGGGCTCAGAGATATAAATGGGTCTCTCTGAAAGGGGATGGTGATGGATCACCATGTTCTCAGGAGTCTAAGCTATTCCCTTTCTCCTCTAGCTGTTGGCATTCACTGCACTCTCTCAGCTCCAGAGCTAAGGGATATATAATAGACACGGGAAGACCTATAAAAGTAACATCTGAAACTGCGGCAGAGCTGAGTATTGATTTATTCATTACTATAAATTTTTTGTCATTACTATGCAATTGCTCTATCTCAGGAAGAATTGATAGATGTGGTTGGAAGCTGCAACCCACTGTGCAAAACTTTTTCCCCCTTCTATAATTTCCTGTAACTCTTCTAAAGAATCATTATTCCTTATTACATAGCTCTGGCATGCCACCTATTTAGATAAATGCGTGAACAAGTGTGCAGTAAATATTCATAGTGGCCCATGTGTCAACGGTATATGTCACTAATTAGATAATTTAGTGGTTCAAATAAATAAATAAGAAAATAGAAGCACACTAAGGAAAATAGTGAAATAAAACACAGACTCCTTGTAGGAATCCAGGCAAATAGGACAGCTTTTCAGGTTATAAGATCATCTATATATGTTGGAGGCCTATCAGAAGGTCACAGTGATACTTAATGATGCTGCTTGCATGTGGGAGAAGCCCAGACCCACGAGTGCCTATGTCATTTTGGGTCTTCTTAGCAACGTACATGCTTGTGACTTAAGCAAGGCCACTCTGGATGGGTCTCAGGGGATTTGGTGGCCTTTTGCCTTCTTTATCCTGCTCATTTTCTTGTGACTGTTATTTATAATCCTGCTGCTACCAAGAGAACTGGGCTCAGGGCTTGAAAATGATAGGTTTAAATTCTGAGTCTGATATAAAGTGGGTAAGTTACTCATTCAACTTGGGCCTCAATGTTCTTATCTGTAGAATGGAAACATTTCTAATTTGAGGTATAATGGCAATGATGGTGACAATGAAATGTAAATGAGGCAAGAGACAGAGAAGCCCTTTCCAGAGTCCAGTGTTCCAAATGGACCTTAGAAGATATTTGTTTGTTTGTTTTATTTTAAATAAGTTGTCTCAAGAAAAGTGAGTTATGCAGACAGAGCAACTATTTAGAGAACCAGGGTACTGGGAGCTACTATTTATTGGGTGCCTCCTTTGTATCAGGCATTGAGATTATAGGTACTTCCTATAGGGTATCAACTGGAATCCACTTTGGTGAAGTAAAGGATGTTTTTCCCACATTTTGCAGATGGGGAAACTGAGGTTTAGCAACACTCAGTGTAACTTGCTGAAGATGACAGATCTGGTAAGTGATGCCAGATGAAAATTCACCTTTCTCTGGCTCTATCTTCCATATCTGCTATGCTGCTGGTGATATGCTGTGTTGTCTCCAGGTTTGAACTGAAAGGACTTAATTTGTTTTGTATTTTAGAAATTTAAAAAAAAAAAAGTAAGATTTCAATCTGAGTTGCCCAGATAGCTTGACTATACTGGCCAAATCCATAGTGGTCTTCCTCAACTGAGCAAGTCCAAGTTCTGTTTACATAAATGTAGTTATCCCAAACAGTCAGTTTGATTAAGGGTCTCTGTGGTGACCTTGTGAAGTGGTGTTAAGCAAAAATAATTGGATCTACTGAATCTTGAGATCTGGCTGATTAGCTCCTAATGCATGAATCTGACCTTAGCCCTTTCCGGTGGTGTGTTAGAATCTGAGGGAGATGGATTCACTTTGTCAAACAGCTAAAGCCAAGTCTTTGAGGCATGCCTAAACTAGTCATGGCCTTGTCTGGGCATATTCATTTCTCAATTGCAGATAGGATGAATCTGCATGTTTCCATTAAGCAATCATATAAAAAGTAAACTTATTCAAACCAGCTTTAGAGCCAGCCAGATTATCTGATCAAGGTGCCACCTTTCTGGTTTGGGTTTATCTAGTCATAACTGAGAGTACTCATTAATTTATTTAGCAAATATTTAATTTGCACTTCTGTGTGTCCACTGCAATGGAAGACACTGGAAGCACTGTTGGCATTCACTGTTCATAGTCCAAGGATGGACTACATTGTGTGAATGTACCTATTCAGGGAGCCCTGGATAAGAGCTCCTGCTGCTGCAGTTGTTGAACAATACAAATGCAGAGGGTTAGAGGGGTAAATGCACGGACATGGGGACAGGTGGGTAAATGAGTGACTTGATGGGCAGATGGATGAACAGAAGTGTCTTCATCATCTTAGTGCCTTTTTGAGCTTCCTTCTGACCTTCAGGAAGGTTCAGAATGACTTATTAATATCTCTATGACTAATGGTGGTACCCGAATCAATCTCTTCAGATTCCATATTAATATGCCCTACTGCAAATTTTCTTTCTTTTTATTGATAACCGGAGTTCTAGGTCTTTTGTCTCTTGACTAGTTTTTGTCTCTTAGCCAGTTCTTCTCATCTACATTTTGGTTGCACTTTCTGCGTGGACTTGAATCAGAGTTTATCTCTACTTCTCTCTTTGAACCTCACTGGAAGCCTCCCAGTGACCACGTCTGTGCCCACAGAGGTGGAAGTCTACAAGGGTGGATAAATGAATAGATGCTAATCAATGGAAGATTGTGGGTAGATGGGGGAATGGGTGACCATATTGTTCACATTTGTTCCTCCAATGTTATTAGCACCAGTGCCTGGCTCATAGTAGGTGATTACAGATTTAAAGAATAGGTGGTTAGGTGATTGAATACGTAAGTGATTGGGTGACTGAGTGAAGAAGTGCTAAGTAACTGAGTAGGTGATGAATGGATGGATACATCTATGTATGAATAAGTAGATAAATTACTCTATTGGTTATTGGGTAAGTGGGTCAATAAATGAAAAAAATGGTAAGTAGATGAATGATTAAAAGGTAGTATGTGGGTGGATACTTGCATCAGCAGATGAACGGGTGGGTGGGTAAATGGTTGAATAGATGAATGGATAGGTGGTTATATGGGTGTGTAGTTGCCTGGGTAAATCTTAGAGGATTTAGGAGCGAATGGATGATTATGTGAATAAAAGAATGGATGGTCGGATGGATGTTTGGATTGTAGCCCTAAAGCTTGTTGGGCACTGAGAGAAGACAGGCTGATACTTAAACTCTGCCCTGATTATGGCCAAAGTAAACAATTCTCTTGGTTTAAGGGAATGATGCTGCTGGCTTTGGGAAGATTAAGGGCATGGCACACAAGGGGATGGAAAGTCTGACTGGCTGGCCAGAAGAGTGATAATGACTCGTGGTTTCCAAGCACTGTTTATAAAATAACCAAAGAAGCAATGAGTGTGTTTCTTGGGTTCCTTGAGGCCACAGAGAGGAGGGACATAACCTCAGCAGATACAGCTTCATGTGAAAGACTAGTGAGCACAGAGTGCATGACTGCTGGAAGTTATAGACCCACTGTTGACCAGATGACCTTGCTATTTTCTGCTTTTCCTCTTTCTTTCTTTCTTTCCTTTCTTTTTTTCCTTCCTTCCCCAGCCCCCCAACTTCCTTCCTTATTTCTTTCTCACTACTCTGGCCCAGGCAGGGATGACCTAGGTCCAGAAGGCAGAGCCTTCTGGGAACTGACCCATGCTTTGCCTTGAAATTTGGAACTTCACCTAGGAGACCGGTTTAGACTTCTAGCTGAGCTGGCTGGCTGATTTCCCTGCTTAGGATCATTTACCTCATATGTGTTCTGATTAAAAGGAGCTGTGGTGGAGAGTGAAATGAGCATGGGGCTTGGATCCAAACAGACTTATTGTCTGGTGACCTTGGAAAGTTTCCTATACTTTAAAATTCTGCTTTATCTGCTAAAGATAATGAGGAGAGTGTATAAAATTAAAAACACTTGCTTCATTTGGTTAATGTAAGAATTAAAAGAAATAATGTGAAAGAATCACTACTTGATTGGTACCTACTAAGTGTCTTATATAACTTAGTAATTCTTCTTTGTTTTGTTAATTCCTTAATCTCCCTCTCTAGCTAAGATGCATCAGACCATATGAGGATATGGCTTAGGTATCAAATGGGCCCATTCACTTGGTCCACTGAAGACTTTAGGAAAACAGTGTAGTGGTTCCTCAAAAAGTTATGCTTAAAACCACATATGATCCATCACCCCATCACTGACATATGATCACATCCACTCCCAGGCCCTTATCCAAAAGAATTGAAAACAGGGACTCAAACAGATGCTTTTACACCAATGTTTTATAGCACCATTGTTCAGAATACCAAAAAAGGTGGAAACAACTCAAATGTCCATCAGCAGAAGAATGGATAAACAAAATCTGATGTATCTATATAATGAAATATTCTTCAACATAGTAATTGTAATTGAATTCTGACACATGCTATAATATAGATGAACATTATGCTAAGTGAAATGAGCCAGACACTGAAGGACAGTTACCGTATGACCCATTCATGTTGTATGACCATTCATATTCAGAGACAGAAAGTAGATTAGAGATTTCCAAGGGCTTGAGGGAGGAGGATGGGGAGTTACTGTTTAATGGAAACTTCTGGTTGGGCTGATGAATAAGTTTTGGAAATTGATAGTGGTGATGGTTTCACAATACAGTGAATGTACTTTATGCCACCAAATTGTATACTTAATTTAATTATTAAAAATAATTAAAATGGTAAATTCTGTTACATATATTTTAAATTTAAGAAAGTAACACATGGCTATTCAGGGTCTTTTCTTGTTCCATATAAATTTTAAGATTCTTTGTTCCAGCTCTGTGAAAAACGTTGATGGTATTTTGATAGGGATTGCATTGAATGTGTAGATTGCTCTGGGTAGCATACAAATGTAGTGATCCGAAGGGGCACCTGCACCCCAATGTTTATAGAAGCAATGTCCACAATGGAAAGAGCCCAGATGTCCATCGATAGTTGAATGGGCAAAGAAGATGTGGTATATATATATATAATTGAATACTACTGAGACATCAAAAAATGAAATCTTACCATTTGCAATGATATGGATAGAACTAGAGGGTATTATGCTAAGCGAAATAAGTCAATCAGAGAAAGACAATGATCATAGTCTCACTCATATGTGGAATTTAAGAAAAAAAACACAGGATCATAGGGGAATGAAGGGGGAAAAATAAGATATAATCAGACAGGGAGACAAACCATAAAAGACTCTTAACTATAGGAAACAAACTGATGGTTGCTGGAGGGGACGGGGGTGGGGGTTAGTGTAGCTGGGTGATGGGCATTAAGGATGCACCTGATGGAATGAGCACTGAGTATTATATAATACTGATGAATCCCTGAACTCTATGTCTGAAACCGATAATACACTATATGCTAATTAATTGAACTTGAATAAAATAAAATAAAATTTAAAAAGATAACAAAAAATTAAAAAAAATATATTGCCCAGAAAACACCCTCAAAAGAAGAAGAAGAAGAAGGAGAAGAAGAAGAAACAGATGAAAAAGATTTGTGCCTGTGAGCTGCAAAGATGTACCTAAACCCGTGGGGTCAGACAGCCTGACTCAACCATTTAATCTCAGCATACGGTTAAGTTATTCTCTGGCAGGTTTGCTTTCCAGGATGGGAGGCAGGGGCAAACAACACTAGTTCTACTTTTTCTCCTATTACCGCCAGCCATCCTCTTATCATTCATGTGATTGGCTTCTGTGAGATAGAGAGCTAATTTTTTTTTTTTAACTAATTTAACGTTTAAATTTCTGGACGTGAACGTGTGATTGGCCTAAGCTCTTACAAGAAGGGGTTGGACTCTGGACAGACAAGAACACCAGCAACAAAGAGGAGGGTCATGTTAAGACTGTTCTTACCCCTTCCCCCGTCAGTGCCCAGAAGCCTTGAAATCCATCTTACCCAGTAACCCTTACTGTTCCCTGATACTTAGATGAGGGAGGTCACAGAACAAAGTAAGACTTTTCTGGCCCAAACATAGAATGGCATACATGGAAAACCAAAGCTCTGCTGGAATCCTGTTACAATATATGAAGAGCTGGAGGCTCAATTATGGGTACTATGAGGACAAAATTTCAGACTTTGCTCTGGCTTTTGTCAGCTTAAGGCTCTTAAGGTAGTTTACACAAAGATTTGTGTGTCTGAATTTTTCTCTGGCAGGTTCTCATTATAACCTAGATAACACAAATCCTGAATATTTGTGGTTAGCAACAATAAGGAATTTTCAAGTCATCTGACATTTTCTAGCCATGTAGATCACCACCTAGGATCAATATACAGCTCTGAGACAAAAGGAGACATAGATGGTGGGAAAGTTTTTCATGGTTTGTGCAGTGTCTGAGTTTCAAC